AACCCAACACTTTTTAATCATTTCTGTCAAACGGGCTTTTGCGAGCAACTTTTTCGAACTTCTGCAACAACGGTTGCGCACCTGCCAGGCCATCATCCCTGTCAAATAATACCATGCGGGACACATTCGTTTTTTATTCGCGCGCGCACGCCGTCGTCGTCGGCCGCGGGGCCCTGAATAGTAGCCACGGTCGTCCGCATGCCACGAAGTGAAGTGTCCGAACGTCATAGGGCGGGAAGCTGGGTGTGTGGTGGCGAAGAGTCGTTTGGAAATTTGGTAGAGCTTGAACCGGCCCCCCCACAAAGTGGGGGTATTGCCCGCCTCCTATGAAAACCCTGGCACTGGTGAGAACGGAGTGTCCCCACGTGCTAGTAATTGTTGTTGAACATTATTATTTCTAAAGAATAATTATTGTTGGGACCCCTGGTGCACGGCCCCCCTGCGCCGCCTAGGCCGCAGCTACATTTTCATCATTTTCGTGAGGAAGCCTCAGGTAATTCGATGTGATCAAGATCCGGTTGTTTTGTTCCCCCCCGCTTCCCCTTGCAAAAAACACTATAAAATGACATTTCTTGTTCTAATATAATCAAATTTCAAGAATCCCTTGCAAAAAATAAGGTAAAGTGGACATTCGCGCGCGCAAGACGAAATCCTTCCAAAACCTTAGTGTTCGCAGCGATTTTAACATAAAAACATCAAAAAACCAATTGTTTTTTCAACAAAAAATTGTCAAAATCTCATCCCGCGCGCTCTTGCGGATTCGTAGGAAACCCAACACTTTTTAAACATTTCTGTCAAACGGGCTTTTGCGAGCAACTTTTTCGAACTTCTGCGACACCGGTTGCGCACCTGCCAGGGCCATCATCCCTGTCAAATAATACCATGCGGGACACAATCGTTTTTTCTTCGCGCGCGCACGCCGAAATCTCCAAAAACATTGGGTTTGTGGTGTAACCCAACGCGCCAGTGTAGTAGCCACGGTCGTCCGCACGCCACGAAGTGAAGTGTCCCAACGTCATAGGGCGGGAAGCTGGGTTTGGGTGGTCGCGAAGAGTCGTTTGGATATTTGGTAGAGCTTGTAATGCCCCCCCACGAAGTGGGGGTATTGCCTGGTGTCGTATGAAAACCCTGGCACTGGGGAGAACACCACGCGTTCGGGTAAAATGATTGTTGTTGTTGTTGTTGTTGTTGTTGTTGTCGTTGCTGTCGTTGTTGTTGAAGTATCGTCCATCCCCCCTGCCCGGTAACCTGCGCTCGCAGGGGAAATCGAGGTGGCGCCGCGTTGCGCCCCCAACGCCTGGTTTACAACGGCAGCGGCGCCCTCCTGACACTTCCGCACACTTTAATCCCGAATCGCGGTCTCGCGCGGGACGTCCTCGCGATCTATGCAGGAATCGCGCTCTCGCGTGGGACTTCAGCACCGTTTATTCAGACGCCGCGCCCAAGACAGTCAGGAATCACGCTTTCGAAGTGGATTTCCTCACGATGTATTTGGGAATCGCGCTATCGCTCGTGAGTTTCTCGTCAGTCATGCAGTGGTCGCGCTAAAAAACAGCCTGCTCGACCTGGCCGATTTTGTCCGCCTTCCCGACCCGCCCGCTAGGGTATGCCCGCCCGTCTGGTTATGCCGCGTTTTTTCTGCTCCTAGCCCCCTTCCTGCTAATCCCGTGCTCCATCCTTCTCCCTCCCCCATGTCAGTTCTTTCCATCCGTCCTCTTTCCCCCTTCCTTAGGGGCTGCGCGAAATACACGTTGCACGCAAGAGAGGTATATACCCCCAAGGGGGGTACGATCGATGACGAAGAGGGCGGGTATCGAGGGTTTGGGATATGCGTGCTGAGTGGCCTGCGAACCCACCATAGCTAACATGACTGAAATTGGTGTTGCTGTCGTTGCTGTTGCTGGTGCTGTTGTTGCTGTTGTTGTCGTTGCTGCTGGTGCTGCTAGTGATGTTGCTGTTGTATGTGTTGTTGGTGTTGTTGTTGTTGCTGCTGCTGTTATTATTGTTGGTGTTGTTGTTGTTATCGTTGGTGCTGCTGCTGCTGTTGCTGTTGTTGCTATTGTTGTTCTTGGTGGTGCTGTTGGTGGTGCTGTTGTTGCTGCTGGTGCTGCTGTTGTTGTCGCTGTCGTTGTCGTTGTCGTTGTTGGTGTTATTGTTGTTGTTGTTGTTGTTGATATTGTTGTTGTTGTTGTTGATGTTGTTGTTGTTTTTGTTGTTGTTGTTGTTGTTGCTGTTGTTGTTGTTGTTGTTGTTGGTGTTGTTGTTGTTGTTGTTGTGTTTGGTATTGTTGTGTTTGTTGTTATTGTTGTTATTGTTGTTTTTGTCGTTGTTGCTGGTGGTGGTGGTGGCGTTGTTGTTAGATTGCTGCTGTTGTTGTTGTTGTTGTTGTTGTTGTTGTTGTTGTTGTTGTGTTTGTCTACGTCCTCGCCCGTGCCCCCCCCCGCGACCAACCCAGCGACCCACCCCGTGACCCTGCGACCCTCCCCGCTCTCGCCCCTTCACAATTATCCGCAGCTGCTGGGTGTTGCGTTCATCCTTTGTTCCGCCTCCTCGTCCTCCTCCTCGTCCCCTGCCTCGTCCTCGTCCCCCCCTCCTCGTCCATGCTTTCCTCCTTCTCCTCCCTCTTCTCCTCCTCGTCCTCCTCCTCCTCCTCCTCCTCCTCCTCGTCCTTCCTCCCCTCCTCCTCCTCCTCCTCCTCCTCACCTCCTCCTCCCCTCCTCCTCCTCCTCCTCCCTTGGTTAACTCCCCCTCCTCCCCCCCGCCACCTCGTCGTCGTCGTCCCCTCCTCCTCCTCCTACTCCTCCTCCTCCTCCTCCTCCTCCTCCACCTCCCCCTCTCCCCCTCTCGTCTCCTTTTCCTCAGCCTCCTCCTCGTCGTCCTCTCTTCCCCTCCTCCTCTCCTCCTCCTCCTCCTCCTTCTCCTCCTCCTCCTCCTCCCCGCCTTTTCGCCCATGTCCTCCAACTCCACCTCCACCTATCGACCTCTAGCCTCCACCAGATCACCACCCCGACTTCTAGCATCCAGCATCCGACTCTCCAGGCCCACCTCCACCTATCGACCTCCAGACCCTTCCAGCTCAGCACTCATACCTCCAGCATCCAGCATTCGACTTTCCACTCCCACTTCCTCCTTGACTTACAGCTTCCACCGGCTCACCACTCCGACCTCCAGCCCTCCAATGTCCAGCATCCGACTTTCCACTTCCACCTCCACCTGTCGACCTCCAGCTTCCGCCAGCTCACCACCGTGACCGCCAGCATCCGGCTTTCGACTTCCCACTGCCACATCCACCTAGTGACCTTCAGCCTGTACCAGCTCAGCATTCCAACATCCTGCATCCAGCATCTGACTCTCCACTTCTACCTCCAACTGCCGACTGCCAACCTCTACCAACTCAGCATTCCGACCTACAGCACCTGGCGTCCTATTTTCCATTTCCATTTTCACCTATGGACCTCCAGCCTGTGCCAGTTCAACACTCTGACCTACAGCCTTCAATCTCCGACTTCTCACCTCCAGGTCCACCTCCGCCCATCGACCTCCAGCGTTCACCAGCTCGGCACCTGGCTCTCCACTTCCACCTTCGACGAGCGACACCCGACCAACAACACGGCACTCCGACATCCATCATCTAGCATCCGACCCCCAATTTCCACCTTCACCCATCGACTTGCAACGTTCACCAGCTTAGAACTTGGCACTCCAACCAGCTCGGCAAACACGGACAGCATGCACCGAGGGCCCCGGCCCACCCGCGCAGGCGCTGAAGGGCCACGCCCCCGGCGGTACCGTGCGCTCGTCTCGTCTCGTGTCGGCTCGTCTCGCCCCGTCTCGCCCCGTCTCGCCCCGTCTCGTCTCGTCTCGTCTCGTCTCGTCTCGTCTCGTCTCGTCTCGTCTCGTCTCGTCTCGTCCTCCTCCGCCTCCTCTTCTTCATCCTCTTCTTCCTCCCCTCTCCTCCTCTCTCCTCCTCCTCCTGCTCCTCCTCCTCCTTCTTCTCCTCCTCCTCTTCCGCTCATCTCCTCCTCCTCCTCCTCTCCTCCTCCCCTCCTTCACCTCCTCCTCCTCCTTCTGCTCCTCCTCCGCTCTTCTCCTTCGCTCACCTTCTCCTCCTCCTCCTCCTCCTCCTCCTCCTCCTCCGCCTCCTCGCCCTCCCCGTCCATCTCTCCCCTCATCCTCCCGTCGTCCTCACTCCTTCTTCTCCTCCGCCTCCTCCTCTCCTCCTCCTCCTCCTCACTCCTCCTCCTCCTCCTCGCTCCATCCTCTTCCTTACTCTAGCGCTGCTGCAGCTCATCCTCCTTTCTCTCCTCCTCCGCCTCATCCCCCTCCTCCTCCTCCTCCTCCTCCTTCTCCTCCTCCTCCTCCTCCTCCTCCTCCTTCCCCTCATCCCCCCTCCTCTCCTCCCCTCCTCCTCCTCCTCGCCTCCTCAACCTCATGGCCTTCCTCCTCTTCTCTCCTTCTTTCTCCTGCACTTCCTCTTTCCCTCCTCCTCCTCCTCACTCCTCCTCCTCTTCCCCCCTCCTCCTCCTCCTCCCTCCTCCTCCTCCTCCTCCTCCCCTTCCTTCTCTCCTCCTCTCCTTCTGCTCCTAACCTCAGCTCCTCCTTTTCCTCCTCCTCTCCTCCACTTTCTCTCCTCCTCCTCCTACTCCTCATCCTCCTCCTTTTCTCCTCCTCCTCCTCCCCTAGCTCCTCCTCCTCCTCCTCCCTCCTCCCCGTCCCCCTCCTCCTCCTCCTCCTCCTCCTCCTCCTCCTCCTCTTCTCGTCTTCTCTTCTTTCTTCCTCCCTCCTCCTCCCTCCTCCTTCTTCTCCTTCTCGTGCCCGCTCCTTTTTTCCTCCTCTCTCCTCCTCCTCCTCTCCCTCCTCCCCTCCTCCTCCTCCTCCTCCTCCTCCTCCTCCTCCTCCTCCTCCTCCTCCGTCTTCCTCCGTCCTCCTCATCCTCCTCCACCTCCTGCTCCTCCTCCTCGCTTCCTCCCCCTTCTACGCCCCTGCCCCTGGGGCCGCAGGCTCGGGGCTGGGACGTGCAGCTGCAGGCGGTGGAGACGGAGCTGGCTGCGGACAGGGCCCGCTGGGGCGCCGCGGGCGAGGCGCGGGAGGAGGACTGCATGTGGATCAACACTCCTCGTTCTCCTCAACACATGTTCCTCCTCCTCCTCCTCCTTATCATCATCCTCCTTCTGTCCACCTTCTCATCCTCTTTTCCTGTCTCTCTCCTTCTCCTCTTCTCTCCTCCTCCTCCTCATCCTCATCGTCCTCCTTCTCCGCTTCCTCCTCCTCCTCCTCCTCCTCCTCCTCCTCTTCCTCATCATCATCATCATCATCAGCATCATCATCATCATCATCATCATCATCATCATCATCATCATCATCATCATCATCAGCATCAGCATCATCATCATCATCATCATCATCATCATCATCATCATCTTCTCTCCTCCTCCTCCTTCTCCTCCTCGTTATCCTCCCCCTCTTCTCTCCTCCTCTCTCCTTCACTCTCCTCCTCCTTCTCCTCGTCCTCCTCCTCATCCTCCACGTTCTTATTCTCCTCCTCGTTTTCTTTCCTCCTCTCTCCTCCTCCATCTCCTCCTCCTCCCTTCTCTGGTCTTTTTAGTTTATTCGCGTATCGCATGTATCTTCAGAACTTCCGCATTTACTCATCGTATCGTATCTCATTGTCCTGTCTTATTGGATTCGTTTTTTTTCTCATGATGACCCGTCTACGCTGTTATATCAACTTATCTTCTCTGGTTTTGCCATTTATCCTATCTGCATTTCTCTCCTCGTCTCATCTCATATGCTATTTGCAGGTATCGTCTATTATCGTGTCTTCTTTTCTATTTTAATCATAGCGTATCAGAGTACAGTGGCTTCTCTTCTCACATTTTGCCGTCTGGATGTGTATACCATATCCATGTAGCCTATATGTATATAGGATATATAGTATTATAGTCTGGTCGCTTATCTCGTTGTCCTTTCTTTTCAAGTCTAGTATGTTCTTTTCTTGTTATATATAATAGTTTACCTTATGGTGTGTTATATGATTCCCTCGTTGATGGTTCCAGATTATAGTATCGTGTCTTATCTTAGGATATCATGGGTTGTCTTATTTGCTCGTCTCTGTTCTTGGACTCTTTTTCTCTTATCTTATACTGTAGTACCATCTTTTATAGTATGCTCTCTTCTCTTCTCTTCTCCTCCCATCTCTTCTCATCTCCTCCTCCTCCTTCTCCTCCTCCGCCTCCTTCGCCTCCGTCTATCCCTGTCTTCTTCTCCTCCTCCTCCTCCTCATCGTCTCCTCTCTGCCTCTTCATCCGCGTCCCCTACTCCTGTCTTCTTGCGTAAAACTTTGTATGGGGCATTTCTTTTATTTTCGCATGTTCTCTTGTCTTATCGTAATGTATCTTCTCTTCTGGCCGATTATGGTTTACCCTGTTCTCTTCGGTGCGCTATCTTGTATTGGTTTCTAGTGCCTAATAGTGCATGATAGTATCGTCTCGGCGCCATTGTTATCTTCTCTTCTCTTCTCTCATCTACTTGTCCTATGTAGTGTTTCCCTATCTTCTCTTCTCTTCTCTTCTCTACTCTTCTCTTCTCTTTTCTTCTCTGCTCTTCTCTTCTCTTCTCTTCTCTTCTCTTCTCTTCTCTTATCATATCTTCTCTTCTCTCACCTTATCTTACTTTTACATTATGTGTGATTATCTTCTCTTATACCATCTCCTCTTCTCTTCTCTTGTCTTCTCTTCTCTTCTCTTCTCTTCTCGTCTCGTCTCTTCTCTTCTCTTCTCTTCTCTCCTCTTCTCTTCTCTTCTCTTCTCTTATCGTCTCGTATCTTCTCTTCTCTTCTCTTCTCTTCTCTTCTCTTCTCTTCTCTTCTCTTCTCTTCTCTTCTCTTCTCTTCTCTTCTCTTCTCTTCTCTTCGCGTGCGAGCAGCGAGATCGCCGACGAGCTCGTGGACGGGGCATCCGCCGGCCACGCCGCCTCGGACGGCCAACTCGACTGTTGCGACTGGGTGCGTGCATCAGCGGTGCGGGCGCGTGGCCGCATGTGCTGGGCGACGCGGGGCTTGTTTGAGGGGGGGACAGTTCCAGCCGCGCGGCGACAACGACGAGCAGATGAGCAAGCCGATGGGCACACGGAGCCGCCCGTCTCGTCGACAGCCTCGCTATTGGGTGCAAGCGCGCGTTCGCACCGGGAGCGTCACTTGCGAGATGGGAGCGCAAGGCTTGTATGCCGTCGTCGAGCAGGACGGGTGCCAAGTTCATTTCGCGACGCTGGCTTGCTTCCAGATGCTGCAGTTCTGCAGTTCTACATTGTCAAGCTCGGCCAGGCGGGGCGCGCTCGTTGGAAGTGGATCTGCCCATCTGGCGCGCCCGATGATCTTCGGCATGCGATGGGGGGCATTGGCGATATGTCTTGTGCGCTGGTCGGGCGAGCCCAGGACAGCTAGGCTTCTTGCGGAAAGGCAGCCAACCAATCAGTCACCTACTTTTGCACCACAGAGTTGTCATCAAAGTCTTCGGACTGGGATGCTTCAGCAAGACACTCTGTGATTGCGTTCGGCTGCCATTTGAACTACTCGGAGGGAGCAACATCCATCACCATGGGTATCAAGAAGTTGGGGGCAGCCTCCGATCCATTGCCCCAGAGGAAGTGAGTGTACCAGTGCAGTGCAGCGGGGCTCGCGGATCTAGGGAGCGTGCTCTATGCCCTCGCGGAGCGAGCTTTGCTGTGGTACGGGGCATTTGCTACTAGCTTGGATGGCGTATTTTGGAGCTTGCTACTTCTAGGTGCTCGGCCGAGCTGGCGGGGCCCGATTCCACGAAGGACTAGGTGGACCTCGACTGGGCCATCATGTCCCTTGGTGTTCGAGGCCTGCAGGGCCGACGGCCCGCGGGCGCGCGGCGGCCACAGCCGCGCAGTGCCGCGCGGGAGCGGCATCGTCGCTATCCGCGCCCCCGTGTCCTCCTAGTCCCCTGTCATCTTACCTCCTCATCCTCTTCCTCCTCCTCCTCGTCTTCCTCGTCCTCTTCCTCAATATCACCATCCCCATCATCATCCTCATCCTCATCCCCCTCCTCCTCTTCCTCCTCCTCCTCCTCTTCCTTTTTCTCCTACTCTTCCTCCTCCTCCTCCTCCTCGCTCCTCCTACGTTCTCCTAGATCCAGTTATTCTCGTTGTCGCTCCCCGGGGCGTGCAGGTAGGCTGGTCGGGCGCGCCGGGCGTTCCGCCAATGATTTCGTCACAACTTGTGATCCCCAGACTGAGACACTGCAAGAGCTTCGCGGATGGAGGGCGGCCGGTTTCCAAACATGTGGCTCTCGCTTCAGCGCCGCGCGCACTCGCTGTTAGAGACTTGCCAGGACTTCACGGCTGGAGGGGGGCCGTTTTTTTTGATGCGGTTCTCAGCTCAGCTCCGCGCGCATTTTCGTGTATATATATATATCTATCTATCTATATATATATACACATTTTCGAATATATATATATATATATATATATATGTTATATATATATTTCACGTGTCGCCATCGCCTTCGCGCCGCGCGCCTTCGCTTTAAACAGTTGCAGCGAGCTGTACGGATGGAGGGCGGCTTCTTTTCAACACGTGGCGCTCGCCCCAGCTCCGCGCAGAGTCGTTTCAGCATGTCGAGAGCTTCACGGGTGAAGGGCGGGTGCTCATCAGCATGTGGTCCTCGCTCCAGCGCCGCGCGCGTTCGTCCTACACTGGTGCGGGAGTTTCAATGGTGGAGGGCGGGTGGCTTGCAACATCGTGGTTCTCGTCGAGGCTGCAGCACCTTCTGGGGCTCTCCTGGTGAGCGTCCCTGGAATGGTATTTCGGCACGACGTCGGGCTGCCTAGGCGCAGCGGTTACGTTCGTTCGCGGAGTTGAAATCCCACGAATGGGGTTCTGACGCGATTCAGGGCTGTCAATACGCAACACCAATGGTGATTCGCCGCGTTGAAATCCTAGGGATGGTGTTTTGGCGCAGTTCAGAATGTTCAAACGGTTGACTTCCAACGAGGCACACTCCCCAGTGATAATGAGCCCTTGTAGCGGCCTGCGAAGAGAGGGGACTTGGACAAAGGGTTCATTGCAATATCTTGATGGGTCTTGGGTTTACGGTGGTTTTTATCCTCCTCCTCCTCCTCCTCCTCCTCATCTGTCCTCCTCTTGCTCTCTTCTCTCTCCTCTCTCCTCCTCCGCCTCCTCCTCTTCCTCCTGCTCCTCCTCCTCCTAGTCCTCCACCTCCTCCTTTCTCCTGCTCTCCTCCCTTTCCTTCTCTCTTTTGCCTCTACTCGCTCCCATCTTTCTCGGATGAGGATGAGAAAACGGAGGAGCAGGCGGAGGGTGATGAAGACGCAGCTGCCGCATAGATCCAGACTTCAAAAGTTCTGCCAACGTCACGACGGCTTTTTTGCTATTACAATGTTTGGCCTCTTTGGGCCCTCGCCAGGTTCCTCGGCCGTCAACAAATGATGCAGGATAAAATAATGATTTTGGGGAGTAGGTCGAGACTTCTGGGTGTCGACTTCGTGCAACAAAGTACGACATCGGAGGCGTGGAGCCGCTGCGTAGACTCGTGGGCGAAAACCGACAGCAGGTCCTGTCCGTTTTGAACCAGATTATATAGGCTTACGCCACATCCGCCGACCCCTATATAAGGTACTGCGCCTGCAGGGCTGCATTTAACGAGGCTTGTCCGAATCATGGCACGGCGCTCGACATCGTTCCTGTTGCTTCGTTGCTGTTATCGTACCTCTTGGTGCTCTTTTGTGGCCTCTTGGTGGCATCTTGGCCTGTCTGCAGGCCATATCTGGCCGCCTCGAGGCATCTTGGGCCAAGTTTGGGGGCCTCTTTGGGGCTTCCTGGGGGCTGCTTGGGGGCCTTTGAGGTTCTTTTGGGGGTCCCTCAGGGCCTCTTGGGCTGTTTTTGGGGCAGGCTGGGGGCGTCTTGGGGCCGAAGGCTCGAACAGGTGTCGTCTTGGGGCCGTCTGGGGGCCCTCTTGGGCTGTCTTGGGGGTTTGGGGGGCTGTTGTTGAACCCTCTTCGACCCTTCTTGGGGGCCCCTTTGGCCGTCTGGGGGCGATATTGAAGGTTCTTTTGCCCGTCTGGGAGGTAGTGAAAACCGAATAGGCGAGCATGCGGAAAATGCTTGTTTTTCGAAGGGGATGGGACGATTTTTGTTTCTTGGGACCCTTTTGGGGCGCATCTTGGGGGCCTTTTGGGGCGTCTTGGCAGCTTCGGAGGCCGCCTGGAGGCCATCGTGGGCGTCCAGGGCCATATTTCGGCGAATCGTGGCCCCCTGGGACCGTCTGGGGAGCGTTCTGGTGCCTTCATGGCCAGTTTTGGAACCCTCCGCTCCCCCGTGGCGCGTTCGGTCCGGGGTCGCCCGGGGCCCCGTGGGGGGGGGTCAAATCTCCGGCTTGGGGTCCCTTGGGGGGGGTTATGGGGGGGGAACCATCTCACACGCCTAGAGACCCACAAGGGGTCGGCGGATTCGGTGTCGGTGTCGCCGCGGACTTTGTCCACTTGAGACAACTGCCAACAGCGGCCGCTGCCGAATTTGGACAACATTTGCTGTTGAGCACTGTGCCACTTTTTCCCGTGCTCAGTTCGAGCACGCCACAGGACGTGGAGAGGGCCGCGTGGTGGCTAGAGCTGCAGGGCATCGAGGAAGAGCTGGCGAGGGACATGGCGGCGTTGAGGGAAGCGGAAGGATCGGGCTTCGAAGACGAGAAGTCGACACAGACATAAACGTTCAAGGGTCCGCGCGAATGGTGGGATCCGCGCTCGTACCCTCTTGGCGGCGCCTTCGGCGTCGCCCTTGGCACGCTCCGCGCGCCATGCAGAGTGGCCAAAGGCTGGTCTAACGAGGTGGCCTCGGAACTTTCCGAGTAACATCTGCACACATCTCGGGCACGCCGGGTTGTTTCATTCAAGGGGTGGAGGAAGAGGAGGAGGAGAATGAGGAGGAGGAGGAGGAGGAGGAGGAGGAGGAGGAGAAGGGGGAGGTGGAGGGGGAGAAGAAGAGGAGGAGAACGATGATGATGAAGCTGCTGCTGCTGCTGCTGAGATGATGTTGATGATGATGATGATGATGAAGATGATGATGATGATGATGATGATGATGATGAATGATGATGAGATGATGATGATGATGATGATGATGATGAGGATGAGGAGGAGGAGGCGGAGGAGGAGGAGGAGCGGAGGAGGAGGAGGGGAGATGAGGAGGAGGAGGAGAGGGAGGAGGAGGAGGAGGAGAGGAGAGGAGAGGAGGCGGAGGAGGAGAGGAGGAGGAGAGGAGGAGGAGCGGAGGAAGGGGAGAGAGGGGGACGAGGAGGGGGAGGGGAGGAGAAAGGAGGAGGAGGCGGAGGAGGAGGTAGGGCCCGAACGCGCGAAAGAGAAAAGGAGGAGAGGAGGAGGAAGGAGAAGGGAGGAGGAGGAGGAGAGGGAGGAAGGAGAGGAGAGGGGGAGGATAGGAGGGAGGAGGGAGGGAGGAGGGAGGAGGAGGGAGGAGGGGAGGAGGGAGGGAGGAGGAGGGAGGGAGGAGGAGGAGGAGGAGGAGGAGGAGGAGGAGGAGGAGGGGGGCGTTGGCACCAGGCCTCCGCGGGCCCCCCTATGCGTCCAGATCTCGGTGGGGGTGTGGCCTCACAGCCCAGCCACGGGCAGTGCCCACCAGTACTTGGGCTCGACTCGGGCTCGTCACCCGGCGGTGGTAGATTTACCCCTCCTCCTCCTCCTCCTCCTCCTACTCCTCCTCTTCCTTCCCTCTCCTCCTCATCCTCCTTCCCTCTCCTCATCCTCCGCTTCTGCCTCCTCCCCTTCAAGTCTTCCTCCTTTCTCCTCCTCACCAGATACGGGTGCGAACGCGTACCCTGGGGCACTACCGAGAGAAGGTGCCCAGGGACAAGGGGCGCATGAACGAGATATACGTGGCAGGAGTTCGTCCAGCTGCGTCTCTTGGTGCCATGGTCCTCGGGGTCCCCGACAGGGAGTTGAACCAGATCAGATCACTGCTCATGCCCAGGGTCGGTCCAGCTCGTAGGGGAGCCTCCCTCCCGGCTAAGATGGTCTTCCATGGGGACCCCGCGTGGCGTCAAGCAGTTGTCCAGCCCTTCAATGGACTATCAGCTTCTGGCAGGGCCTCACGGAGCCCAAAGCTAGCTACTTCACCCTCATGGAACACCTACGGATCTGGATGGCTGTGACGTCCATCTCACCAGATATAGGGGCCCTTGTTTCCACCAGGTCGTAAGAACCTATCCATCGGATGCTCTTCTCCCTCCACCGCATCGGGTGGCGCGCCGATACTTTTCAGGTGTGGCGAGATGACCGCGACATCGTCGTCGACCTCTATGGGCAAACTTATGGAGGCTGGTGTTCAGAGAGCTTTGGAGCGACGGTTTGCGTCGAGCCTGCCAGGTTTCACTGGGGAAGCGGCAAGAGCCGAGCCTGTGCGTTCTTCGTACCGGTCTCGCAAGGCAAATGCGGGACAGAAACGCCGGCTTTCAGCATGTTGTCCAGGAGCCCGCCGGACGGGGGGCAGGCTCAGAGAGTCAGGATACCTGCGCGGCGGGGAGTGTCCGTGGTGCGCCCTCGCCGATTTTCTCGCTCACCGTCGGTGGCTTTGCGACGCTGACGGCGTTCGCAACCTTCGCATCGAGCATGTCGGAGAGGAGCTGGTCTCAGAATCTCGAGCTGAGCTTGAAGAGGATTCCCCCTTTGGTCGCGCCTGACCGACTCGCAGCCCCTCGACGTCCCCTCCCCCTCTTGGGAGCTTGCCCCCTCCTCCAAAGTGCAGCGGGTGAAGCGATCCAGGCGGAGCAGATCTTCGATCTGACTCGTGGGTGTGGCGCGGCAGTGGACGGCTCTGCAATCCAGCTCGCCTTCCCGAGCAGCTGTTGCAGCCGTCCTTCCGGCCCCCCCCCCCGGGGAGGAATATGCTATACAGGGGCGGGACCTAAACGGTGCTTTGTGGCGATTTCGTGGGCCGTTTTCGCTTCCATTTCGTTTTGCGGTAGAGGCGGATTGAAGACAAAACGAGGGCAAGCGAACAGCAAAACGAACACGAAAAACATCGTTTAGGTTCAGCCCTGTGCTATACGCGCCAGGGCTGCTTGGACCCGTGAGGCCAGACCGTTTTCGGACCCCCTCCCTCCCCACGGCCGCAGAGCACCTGCCCGGCATCGCTCGGGCGTGTGTCTTTCTTCTGCTCTCGCCAGGGGCCATCGGGGAGGAGGAGGAGGATGAGGAGGAGGAGGAGGAGGAGGAGGAGGAGGAGGAGGAGGAGGAGGAGGAGGAGGAGGAGGAGGAGAAGGGGGAGGAGAAGGTCTTGGAGGACGAGGGCTTGGAGGAGGAAGAGGAGGAGGAAGAGGAGGAGGAGGATGAGCAGGAGGAGGAGGAGGAGGAGGAGGAGGAGGAGGAGGAGGAGGAGGAGCAGGAGCAGTGTGGGCCATCCTGCGAAACACGACGCACGCATCCGAACCGCGCACGGGGAGAGAGCGTCTAAGCGCTGGCGCGCCCGGGGGGCGGCCACTCCGAGCGCTCTCTTCGACGCTTCCCCCCCGCGCGCCAACGCAGTGGCTGCCTCGGGGCGGCGCGCCTGCACGGTGCCCGTCGCAGGGGGCGGCGCTGCCCCAACGCATCGGTGCTGTTTTTTTCTCGTGCGGGGCTCGGGAGAGCAGCCAGCGAGCAGGGCCCCAGTGGCCTGGCTCTTCTTCAGTGTGGCCGGTGCTTCCCTTGTGCTTTTCTTTTGAAGTGCCGTTTTTGACTCGGTGTGCTGTCGAGAGCCCAGAGTGCAAAACGGTAGAACAAACGCCCTGGGCGTTTGTACGAGGAGCCAAACCCAGTGAGTGACCTCCTTCGCGTTGCTCTCCACATCCCAGTTCACATGTCTGATGAAGTGATAGGAGGCTCTGCCTGTTTGGGAGCGTCGGATTGCCAGAAGCAGCCAGGACGTCGACCGGTTCGCCAACCATGATCTCACGCTGCTCCCATGAGCTTTCCCCCGAGGTTCTCTGGGCCCTGGGTAGACAGTGTGAAGTGATGAAGAAATGTGCTACTACGTTTTTTGGCTGTCCTGTACAGGTACAGTGAACTCGCGCGCCCAAAGAACTCCGACCCAGGCGAATCATAGATCCGAGCTGGCACGACGGGTTGACGGTCGAGACGGGATCGGGATGGAGGTGCAGCAAGTGTTACAGCGTGTCTTTCGGGCAGGATCGCCCGATGACAGGCTGTCGTGGCCTCCCCACGGCCCTCAAGAAGCTTCGCGGAGCTCAGCTTCGAGGACACAAGTTGAGGGTTGCGACGATCCAGGATGCTCAAGGACTAACATTATTTTGTGTGCTTCCGCTGCAGAGCGTGCTCCAGCCGTCGCTGCGTGCGCCTCACCTCATGGCTCCCCTCCTGCCTTTTCAAAGAGTGGAGAGCAGACTTGATTCAGAGCTCGTCGTGGCTTGCACCCGCGGTATTCGTGTGGGTTTTCGGTGGGCTCATCGCGAGAACCTACCTTATGTTTGCTTGCTGCTGGCTGGGCTTCGGGCCCCCGCCCGCGCAAGCTCCACCAGCCTGGTTCCCACTGGGGGAATGCTGGCTCTTGCCGACGTGTCGCGGTGAGAAATATGGCGGCCCTCGCCGCTCGCTAAGTTTGGTATCAGTCAGGCCATCTTGGGCGTCTTGGAGGCCTCTTGGGCCGTCTTGGGGCCGTCTTGAGGCCGTTTTGGAGGCCTCTTGGGCCGTTCTGGGGCCATCTTGGTGGCCTCTTGGGCGATCTTGGGGCGATCTTGGGGGGCTCTTGGGCCGTCTCTGGCTGTCGGAAGGCCGAAAAGAAGCAACTGCCATAATCTTCCAAACTACTAAGGGAAATCAATGCTTGTGGCATCTTGGGGTCCCCTTGGGAGACCTCTCGGGGCTTCTTGGAGGACTCTGGGGCCGTCTACGGCCATCTTGAGCGTTCTGAAGCGATCGTTCGGCGACGCGGGGCCCTCTTGTGCCGTACTCGGGGCCTCTTGGGGCCTTCTTGGTCCGTCCTGGGGCCTTCTTGGGTTCGAGAAATTTATGCGGGAAGCCGCGGGGGAGCCCAGAGGGTACGCGGGAAGCCCCGGTAGATTTGGAAATTTGAGGCCCTATTCTTCAGGAGTGTTTTCGGGATGAGGCAGAGGACCTGAGGACACGCCCACTCCGTGCCCAGTGGCACGGAGGCGGATAATTTCAATGGGTGCAGAGGCCATACGGCCAGTTCCGCCGACCCTGATAACATCAGAGTTTAGGCTTAAACGGCGGATTGTGGGGTGAAGGCGTGAAGATGATCATCTAGCGAGTGGCCTTTAGCCCATCCCGCCACAGAGGCCTCGGGGACGACTTGGGGCCACTTAGGGGGGATCCTGGGGGCCGTTGTGGCCCACTTGGGTGCGTCTTGGGGGCCTTTTGGGGTCCTCTCGGGACCATCTTCGGGCCTCTTTGGGGTCTTAGGATTATGTCGGAAGGGCTGTCTTCCAGCAGCGCAGCGATATCGCGTTTCTTGGGCCCGCCTCCATGGTTGTCCTGGGTTCGTCTAAGGAGTCGTCCTGGGGTCGTGCAGGAGACCTCCTGGGGGGCCTCTTGAGCCGTCTTGTCTGGTCTTGGGGGTCTCCTGGGCCGCCTTGGATGCTCTTGCGACCGATGTGCCGATAATGCTAGCACCTGATCAAAGCCGAAGGGCTTCAGCTGAGTTGGGCCTCTTGGGCCTGCCCCTGTGGCCTCCAAGGCGGCCCGCGGGACCCCAAAGAGTGCCGAAGCTTGGCCGAGGTCGGCCCCGAAGTGGCTCTGGCGGGCCTCAGGTGCCCAAGGGGCCCGAGGATGCCCAGCCTGGCCCGAAGGTCGCCCAAGCCACTCCAGGCAGGGTGGGGGCGGGTCTCCCACCACACGGGGGGGAAGGGATCGCACGGAAGGGGCTTCCCTTCGGCGCGATTGCGACCTGGGTCGATCCACCTGGGGTCGGCGAGCTTGGAGCGCCTGGCCGCAGGGAAAGCGGGGGAGAGCATAACATGTTCGGCCGCCCCAAAGCTAAAGGCCTCCAGGACTGCACACGCGAGTCCCCAGACCGCTCCAGGACGGGCTCATGGGACCGTCTGGGAGCACGTTGGAAGTTTGGATTCCGAACCACGCCCCCCAGACCTCTGGATAAGGCACGCGGGCATCCCAAATTCGCGCGGAATCGCAGAGGAATTTTGGAGATCAGGGGTCTGGGGGTTTCAGAAGTTATTTTTAGCATTCAATATCCAGGACTCGCAGGGACCTGCGGACACTCCACTTAGTGCCCGCAGCACGGTGGCCAGGTACGGTACAGAACGCACCACCCCAAAGGGTGTACCCCCCAGTATCAGGCGGCAACCGTAGAATTTGGCAATCAGGAGGGGCAACTGTCTCCGAGACGAGGAAGAACCCCTGAGTGCAAGCATCGGTGAAAGTGCATGTGCTCATCAGGGCCCATCGCAGCAACGGCAAGACAACGCAAAGGAGCGTCCGCTCTAAAGTCCTGCCCGCCCCCACCCACCCGTTAGGGTCCCGCCCGCCCGACTCGCTCGTTAGGGTCCCGCTCGCCCGACCCGCCCGTTAGGGTCCCGCCCGCCCGATACGCCTGACGGGAAGTGCAGAGACAGAGGAACACGCACAGGAAGGTGAGAAGGAAGGGGAAGGGAGAGGATGGGGACGAAGAGAAGGAGGACGGCATGTCAGAGCGAGCGCATCACAAGCATACTGCTGGCGCATCTCGGTAACTGGACGATGGGGCAGTTGCACGTCAATAGTACAGTACCGAGGATCACGCCAACAAAAATAATACCAGGGTTCACGGTGTGCGTGTATGGAGGCACTTCTCTAGGCCTCCCAAATGGGGTCCGAGTAGATGGGGTCGGAGGATCGCTCGGCATCGCCGATGCATCGGCGATCCGGTTCGATGTGGATCCTGTTTTGCTTCACGCCGACGTCGCCGATGCATCGTCGATGCGGCGCGATCCTCCGACCCCATCGACACCGATCAGACATCTTAAGAGACAACGAAAATGCTTGACGCTTCGCGTATCCCCACCAGCTCCGTAGCCATTTTGGCTCAAGCCATGTTGGCTCAAGCCATTTTGACCCAAGGTATTTACAGTGTGGCTCAAGCCGCGGTGCCGTGTCTTCTTGGATGCTGGGCATCGGCCGAGGGTCTCGAGAAGGCGTTATTTCCCTCGAAGCGTCGATTAAGAACTGCGGTCGGACAAAACAATGGAGCGTAGCACTGCGGTTGCTCCGCGAAGGACTTCGATTAGGTGTGCAACTTGTCCCAGGCCACTACATTGCGATTGCCAGCGCATGCAGAAAAGGCGGGCAATGGCAACACGCGCTTTCAGTGCTCAGTGACATGTGGAAGGCGAAGCTGGAGCCCAACGTCATCAGCTACAACGTTGGGATCAGCGCGTGCGAGAAGGGCGGGCAGTGGCAGCCAGCGCTGGCACTGCTGAGCGAGATGCAGGAGGCGAAGCTGGAGCTCGACGTCATCTGTACTACAATTCCGGGCGAAGCGCGCGCGAGAAGTACAGGCAGTGGCAGCGCCCCGGGCCGCCCAGAGAGCTCGCGGGCCGCCCGGAGAGCCTCCGGGCCGCTGCCCGACGGGCCCGGGAGGCTCCCGGACCGCTGGCGGACTGATCCAGGATTCCCAGATCGCCCCAAGACAGCCTCAGGACGTCCCGAAGACGGCCCAAGACGGTCCAAGAGTGGATCCGAGACGCTCAAAATGGCTTCAAGACGCCTTCAAGACGGCCCGAGACGCGTCCACGAGGCCCCCAGAGCGCTCGAAGTGTACCTCCAAGAGGGGCCGCAGAAGCCAAAATCGTTGATTTTCTATGGTTCTTTTCCGATGTTTCTGCCCTTCTTGCTGTTTCGGCTTTCCGACGCTCCAAGACCGCCCAAGAGGCCCCCCAGACCGTTCCGAGACGGCCCAAGAGGCCTTTCAGACGGCCCCAAGACGGCCCAAGAGGGCCCCAAGACGGCCCCGGAGTCGCCCAAGACAGCCCAAGAGGGCCCCAAGAAGGCCCCAAGAGAGGCCCAAGACAGGGACCCGGAACCGTCAAATTTAGGCCTCCACCCCAAGAGGCCTCCAGGAAGCCCCAAGACGCCCCAAAGAAACGCCGGGACGCTCCCAAGACATCCCAAGGAGGCCCCAGGACGCCCCACAGAGGCTCCAAGAGGCCCCCCAGAGGCCGCCAAGCGCCCTATACGGCCCCCAAGGGGCCCCAAAAGAGGGCCCGAGAGGCCCCAGGACGCCCCCAAACTGCTATCACGAAGTCCCCAACCTGTCTCCCAGAGGCTCCCGAGAGGCCACCCATGAGATCCCAACCAACATCCACGAGATCTCTTACCCATTACCCAGGCCCGCGGCGACATTGCCCGCAGGCCACTACAGCAGGTTCGGGAGCCCTACGTATCCCAGCACCCGCACCCTTGGCTGTATCGGGGGCCGCGCCGCTGCTCTCTCGGTTCTGCTGGTTTCGACCTGCCAGAGCTCTGAGCCGCTCCCCGACGGACCCACGAGAGCTTCAAGCCACCCCCAAGTCAGCCCCAACCAGGCGCCAGATCCCGCTGCTCTCTCGCTTCTGCTGGTTTCGACCTGCCAGAGCTCTGCGCCGCTCCCCGACGGACCCAAGAGAGCTTCAAGCCTCATCCCCAGGTCAGCCCCAACCGGGCCCCAGATCCCGTCCGAGCGGGCCCAAAGCGACCTACGAGACGGCCCGAGACCCTCAAGATGGCCTCAAGACGCCCCAAGAAGAGACCGAGATGCCGCCAAAGGCGGCCGAAAGCGACCTCCGAGACGGCCCGAGACCCCCAAGACGGTCCCAAGACCTCCCTGCGCGGCCCCCAACCGAGACCCGCAAACGTGTTCCCCTGACTCTGACTATGCCTGAAAAACCGCGTGTTTTTGCTAATCGCGCCTAGGCCCGGCCCCCAAACGGCCAATCACGGCCCCGGGACGGCTCCAGAGGCGCCCGACAGGGCCCAAGACGCACCCAAGACAGCACCAAGAGCAGTTCATAATGGCCCATGACGGTCCCACCGCCCCGTCTCCAAGACGGTTGTACAATCCCCCACCGCCCCGTCCCCAAGCCTTTCCATCTGCACAGTCTCCAAGACGGCTGTGCAGGCCCTCAGATGCCCAAGACGCTCCCAGACGCCCCCAGGAGGATTTCAAAACGGCCCGAGATGGCCCCGGGACGGCTCCAGAGGCGCCCGAGACGGCAAGGCAGCCCCAATAGCGCCCAATATCAGCCCAAGATGAGCCCAAGACGGCCCCAAGATGGTCCGAGAGGCGCCCGAGACGGCCCCACATCGCCACAAGACGGCCCAAGAGGCACTCAAGACGGCCCGAAAGGGCCCCGAGAGACCCCCAGGAGGCAAACAAATTGCCCCCAAACGGCCCCCAAGAGGCCTTGGATCCTTCTTACCCAGCGTCGTCTTTGGGGCTTCTTGGACCCTCTGTGAGCCATTTCCGCGCTTTTGGGGGACGTCTTGGGGCGGTGCGCTCGAAATGTCGATTCGTGTCCTCGCACTGGGGCCCGTCTTAGGGAGTTCGTGGGGCCCTCTGGGGCCTTCTGGGAAGCCTCTTGGCCCGTCCTGGAGACCTTTTGGGCTGTCTCGCCGCCCTCTTGCGGGCCTCTTAGGCCGCGCCCACCGGCCCCATTGTCACCACACTACCAGATAAAATTATTGTTCGGCCCCGGCGAAGAGCTCATAAAATTATCACGGCTACCCTCCCCGCAGAAGCTATGATGAACACAGACTGGGGCGTGAGAAACAGCTTCTGTCCACACCATGTCATGCCTACATGGGTGCGCTTCCACTGACACCGCCTCCACCACCGCGTTCCTGCCTTCATGTCTGCTTGCCTGCATCCCCCCCCGCCTCCTCCTCCAGCGGCCACCTCCTCCATCCACGCCGTCCCCTCCACCCCCCCCTCACCTGCCAGGCCCCGGAGACGCTCCACTTCCACGTCCACGCCATGGCGGGCAGATTCCGCGGCCGGAAGGCCGCGGGTCAGCCCTAGTCTCTCCTACATGGCGGGTGGAAGCGCGTGCGAGAAGGTCAGGCACTCAAGTGCACAAAATCGTCCCTTTACGGCCCCAGGCTGGCCCCGGGCCGCCCCGGGCCGCCTCGGGAGGCCCCAAGACACGCCAAAAGGGCCCAGAGAGGCCACCAAGACGGCCCCGGAGGGCCCCGGCACGCCCAAAGATGGGCTTAGACGCTCGAGATTGGCCCAAGACGGCTCCAGAGACCTCCAAGACGGCCCAAGAAGCCTCCCAAGAGGCCTCCTAAGAGGGTCCCGAGTGGCAGAAATCGTGGATTTCCATTGTGTTTTTCGATGTTTTTGGCCTTCTCGCCTTTTCGGCTTCCCGAGGCTCCAAGACGGCCCCAGAGGTCCCCAAGACCGCTCCAAGACAGCCGAAGAGGCCCCCAGGAGAGCGTCAAGACGGGCCAAGAGGGCCCCAAGACGGGCCCCAGCAGGCCCCGGCGCGCTCCGAGACGCTCCAAGACGAGCCAAGGAAGGCCCCAAGAGACCTTCAAGATGGCCCCAGAGGGCCCCGGCACGCCCAAAAATGAGCCCAAGACGCTCAAGATTGGCCCAAGACGGCTCCAGAGGTCTCCAAGACGCCCCAAGAGGCTTCCCAAGAGGCCTCCCAACAGGGCCCCGAGTGGCAAAAAACTATGATTTCCATTATGTTTTTCTATGTTTTCGGCCTTCTCGCCTTTTCGGCTTCCCGACGCTCCAAGACGGTCCCAGAGGTCCCCCAGACCGCTCTAAGACGGCCGAAGAGGGCCCCAAGAGAGCCCCAAGACGGGCCAAGAGGGCCCCAAGACGGGCCCCAGCAGGCCCCGGCGCGCTCCGAGACGCTCCAAGACGCGCCAAGGAAGGCCTCAAGAGACCTTCAAGATGGCCCCAGAGGGCCCCGGCACGCCCAAAAATGAGCCCAAGACGCTCAAGATTGGCCCAAGACGGCTCCGGAGGTCTCCAAGATGCCCCAAGAGAGGGTCCCGAGTGGCAAAAATCGATGATTTCCATTATGTTTTTCGATGTTTTCGGCCTCCTCGCCTTTTCGGCTTCCCGACGCTCCAAGACGGTCCCAGAGGTCCCCCAGACAGCTCCAAGACGGCCGAAGAGGGCCCCAAGAGAGCCCGAAGACGGGCCAAGAGGGCCCCAAGACGGCCCCACGACTCCCCAAGACGGCCCCAGCACGGCCCAGGAGGCGCCCAAGACGGCTCAAGAGGCACCCAAGACGGCCCCAAGAGCGGCCCGAGACGGCCCAGGACAGCCCAAGAGGCGCCCAAGCCGGCCTCAGCTGGCCCCAAGACGGCCCAAGAGGCACCCAAGACGGCCCAAGAGGGCCCTAAGAGCCTCCCCGGGAGGCCCAGAAGACCCCAAGTGGCTCCGAAACGGCCCCCACGAGGCCCTAAGTGGTTTCAGAATTGCCTCCAGGAGGGTGGGAGCGGACGAGAGGCGACAGGCATTTCGCAGACACTAAAGAGCCGTGCAGCATCAGCAGCACGCGTTGACAACGCAAGCGTCATTCAGCATCATGCAGCATGCAGCAACATCCAGCACCAGGCAAAAAGCTAGCAGCAGCACCAAGCCGTAGCAAGCAGCAGCCCACACCAGTCAAACCGCAGGCGGCAGCAGAAGAACGACAAAGCAAACAGCAGCGAGTAGCAGCAGGCAGCACTCAGCACAACCAGCGGCGGCCATGAAGCCTCCGAGAGCGTTTCGAGAGGGTCCTCATGACAAGCGTCGTTGGCCAGGCGAACAAGGAGCCCAACGTCATCAGGTGCGCCTTCCAGCAGTACTCCCTCCACCCCGCAAGTGGACGGAGTCCACGGGTCAGCCCTAGTCAGCTACAACGCTGGGATCAGCGCGTGCGAGAAGGGCGAGCAGTGGCAGCGGGCGCTTGCGCTGCTGAGCGAGATGCGGGAGGCGAAGCTGGAACCCAACGTCATCAGCTACAACGCTGGGATCAGCGCGTGCGAGAAGGGCGAGCAGTGGCAGCGGGCGCTTGCGCTGCTGAGCGAGATGCGGGAGGCGAAGCTGGAACCCAACGTCATCAGCTACAACGCTGGGATCAGCGCGTGCGAGAAGGGCGAGCAGTGGCAGCCGGCGCTTGCGCTGCTGAGCGAGATGTGGGAGGCACAGCTGGAGCCCAACGTCATCTATACTATATGGCCGGAGGAACCGCGTGCCGGAAGGAAAAAGCATCAAATGGCCGGAAACGGCTCCGAGACGCTCCGGAGGCCGCCCCGACGGCCCAAAGACGGCTCCGAGCCGCTCAAAGACGGCTCCGAGCCGCTCAAGATGCCCCGAAGGCGGCCCAAGAGGGCCCCGAGACGCGGAATGATCGGGCCAAGACGCCCAAGATTGGCCCAAGACGGCCCAAGAGCTCCCCAAGACGGCCCAATAGGCCTCCCAATAGGCCTCCCAAGAGAGCCCCGAGAGGCCAAAATCGTTGATTTTCATTGTTTCTTTTCCGAGGTTTTTTGCTTCCTCGCTTTTTCGGCTTTCCGACTCTCCGAACCCCCCCCAGAGGCATCCAAGACCGCCTCAAGCCGGTCGAAGAGGTCCCCAAGAGGACCCCAAGACGGTCCAAGAGGGCTCCAAGACGGTCCAAGGCGGCCCCAGGACGGCCCCAGAGGCGCCCAAGACAGGCCAACGGGACCCCAAGATGGGCCGAAGAGCGGCCCAAGATGGCTCCAAGACGGCCCGAGGACCGCCCAAGAAGGCCCTAGGGGGCCCCAAGACAGCCCAAGGGGCGCGATAGACGAGCCCAGAGAGGCCCAAGAGGCCCCCAGGAGCCCAAAAGAGGTCCCCAAGAGGTGCCACGGGGGCGGACGAGGGGACCGCCTCAGGAGGTTTTGGACGGTTTGGGCGTCAAAATCATCCGCTTTACGACGGTTTTGGAAGGATTTGGGCCTTCTCGCCTTTTCCGCTTTCCGACGCTCGAAGACGGCCCAAGAGGCCTCCAAGAGCGCCCCAGAACGGCCCAAGAGGTTTCCAAGAGCGCCCCAAGACAGCCCAAGAGGGCCCCAAGACGACCCAAGAGACGCTCAAGACGGCCCACGAGGGCCCGAAGACAGGCCCAAGAGGGGGCCAAGAGGGGGACCACGGACCGAAAATCCGAGCCTTCCGCCCCAAGAGAGCGCCAGGAGGCCCAAACAGGCCCCCAAGAGGCCCCAAGGGGCCGCCCAGAATCCCCCGAAGAGGCCCCAGGAGCCTCCCAAGGAGCCCAAACGAGGCCCCTACAGGCCCCAACAGCTTCCAAAATGGGCCATTTTGGAAGCCCGCCTCCGAGCTTCCTCGCCGCGAGGGTGCCAACACGGCCCCAGACGGGCCCAGGACGGCCCAAGGCGCGCTCAAGACGGCCCAAGACGATTCCAAGACGGTCCCAGGAGGGTGCGCCCAGGACGGCCCAAGGACGCGCCCGGTCGGGGCCTCAAGACGGGCCAAGATGGCAAGAGAGCCCCAGCTGGCAAAAATCGTTAATTTTCCATTGTTTATTGTTACACCCTTTGCGTTTCCCGCCGTTTCGGCGGTCCGATGCACCAAGAGGCCCCAGAAAGTCCCAGGAGGGTCCGAGGAAACGCCCAGGAAGGCCCCAAGACGGGCCAAGACGGACCCAGCACAACCCAAGGCGCGCTGCGACGGCTCAAGACGGCTCCAAGACAGCCCCAAGAGGGTGCCAACACTGCCCCTGCTGGGCCCAGGACGGCCCAAGGAGGCGCACAGGAGGGGCCCAAGACGACTCCAAGGCGGCCTCCTCACGGTCCCAGACGGCTCCAAGACAGCCCCACGAGGACCCCGATGGGCCCAGGACGGCCTACGGACGCGCCCATGAGGGCCCACGACGAACCAAGACGGCCCCATCAGGGCAAACGGCGCCCTCAAGACGGGCCTAGACGGCTCCAAGACGGCCCTTTGAGGGAGCCAACGCGGCCCCACACCCTTCGGGCGCACACTTGGGGGGGCTGGGAGCTTGCGACAAGTCTCCCACATTCATGTCCTGCCCCATTCTGTTCGCCTGGAGGCCTCCTCCAACCCTGTGGGCGAACAAGAGGAAACCCAGCGGGCCGCCAACCCTGGGGCCCGTGGGCCCCGCGCCGCTTGGGCAGAAGACGAACGCCGGGTCTGACAGGCCAGCTACCGCCCCCCTTTGCCCGATATGCTGTGCCATTCTGTTCCCCCAGGGGCCTTGGCGAACTCTTCGGGCCAAGCAGACCGGACCCCTGGGACAGCAGCCAATTGATATGACCCTGGGACCTCTCCGCATTCTTCGGACGAGCACCTGGGGGGCCCAGGAGATTCGGACAAGTCTTCCCCATTCCTTGCCCTGTCCCGTTCTGTTCGCCCGAAGGCCTCCACAGACCCTCTGGGCGAACAGAATGGGACATGGCGAACAAACCCTCCCGTTGGCGGTGATGCGACTGGATCGCACCATCAAGGCGCGCCCGGAGGTGATGGCCGACCCAACAGCGGTTTCTCTAAAGATTTTACAGAATTTCAAATTTTCTTGAAGCTCTCTTGGGCCCTCCCTGTAGATCCTTGCGAGCCTCCCCGGCGCTTTCGGTGGCTTTCCCCGATGGCCTCCCGAGCCCTTCCCCGAGCGCTCCTGAGACGCCTCAGATGGGCTTCGACTTCGACGCACATCCCCGAGAGACTTCGAAACTGTCCTCAATAGGAGGGGGGTGAACGAGCAGTGCGCTGGGCCAAGCTGCTGGAGCGCTGCAAGAGCTCGGACACGAAGGCGCGGTCTCGCTGCCGCCGCCCGAGCCGCCGCCGTGTGTTTAGATTTTCGGTACAATCTGCGCCGTTCCTCCGAGAACCATTCCAGAAAGATGTCGTGGACGGAGTCCACGGGTCAGCCCTAGTCTCTACTACATTGCAGGGCCCAGTGCGTGCCAGAAGGGCGCAGGCTCCAATGAGTCAAAACCGCCCCGGGCTGGCCCCGGGCCGCCCCGGGCCGCCCAGGAAGGCTCCAGGACATGTCGAGAGGGCCCCCAGAAGCCCCCAAGACGGCCCCGGAGAGCCCCGGCACGCTTAAAGATGGGCCCAAGACGCCCGAGATTCGCCCCAGGCGGCCCAAGAGGCGTCCAAGACGCCCGAAGAGGCCTCCCAAGAGGCCTCCCAAGAGGGCCCCGAGCGACAGAAATCGTTGATTTCTATTGTGTTTTTCGATGTTTCCGGCCTCCTCGCCTCTTCGGCTTCCCGACGCTCCAAGACGGCCCAAGAAGTCCCCCCGACCGATCCAAGACGGCCGAAGAGGACCCCAAGAGAGCCCCAAGACGGGCCAGGAGGGCCCCAAGACGGTCCCAAGACGCCCCAGGACGGCCCCAGGACGGCCCAGGAGGCGCCCAAGACGGCCCAAGAGGCACCCAAGACGGCCCCAGGAGCGGCCCAAGACGGCCCAACACAGCCCAAGAGGCGCCGAGGCGGGCCTCAGACGGCCCCAAGACGGCCCAAGAGGCACCCAAGACGGCCCGAGAGGGCCCTAAGAGCCCCCCCGGGAGGCCCAAAAGAATGCCGAAGAGGCTCCGAAACGGCCCCCACGAAGCCTTCAGTGGCTTCAGAATTCCCTCCAGGAGCGGGGGAGCGGACGAGAGGCGACAGGCATATCGCAGGCAAAAACGCCCGAAGAGATCCCCAAACGGCCCCCACGAAGCCCTAAGTGGCCTCAGAATTGCTTCCAGGAGGGGGGAGCGGACGAGAGGCGACCGGCATATCGAAGGCACAAAAGAACAATGTTGGACGCTCCGAGGGCCTTCGATGTTTCTCCGTTGGGGAGAGTCGTCGTAGGATCGACGATTGCCGACTGAGGGCAGCGAATCCAGTGGAGGCCCAAGAGGCCCCCAGGAGCCCAAAAGAGATCCCCAAGAGGTGCCACGGGGCTTAAAAACTGCTTCGAAGCGAGGGGGGCGGACGATGGGACCGCCTCAGGAGGTTTTGGACGGTTTTGGGCCTCAAAATCGTCCGCTTTACGACGGTTTTGGAAGGATTTTGGCCTTCTCGCCTTTTCCGCTTTCCGACGCTCGAAGACGGCCCAAGAGGCCTCCAAGAGCGCCCCAGAACGGCCCAAGAGGTTTCCAAGAGCGCCCAAAGACAGCCCAAGAGGGCCCCAAGACGACCCAAGAGACGCTCAAGACGGCCCACGAGGGCCCGAAGACAGGCCCAAGAGGGGGCCAAGAGGGGGACCACGGACCGAAAATCCGAGCCTTCCGCCCCAAGAGGGCGCCAAGAGGCCCAAACAGGCCCCCAAGAGGCCCCAAGGGGCCGCCAAGAATCCCCCGAAGAGGCCCCAGGAGGCTCCCAAGGAGCCCAAACGAGGCCCCTACAGAGGCCCCAACAGCTTCCAAAATGGCCCAGAAGAGGCCTCGAGCCCGCCTCCGAGCTTCCTCGAGGGTGCCAACACGGCCCCAGACCGGCACAGGACGGCCCAAGGCGCGCTCAAGACGGCCCAAGACGATTCCAAGACGGTCCCAGGAGGGTGCGCCCAGGACGGCCCAAGGACGCGCCCGTTCGGGGCCTCAAGACGGGCCAAGATGGCAAGAGAGTCCCAGCTGGCAAAAATCGTTAATTTTCCATTGTTTACTGTTACACCCTTTGCGTTTCCCGCCGTTTCGGCGGTCCGATGCACCAAGAGGCCCCAGAAAGTCCCAGGAGGGTCCGAGGAAACGCCCAGGAAGGCCCCAAGACGGGCCAAGACGGACCCAGCACAACCCAAGGCGCGCTGCGACGGCTCAAGACGGCTCCAAGACAGCCCCAAGAGGGTGCCAACACGGCCCCTGCTGGGCCCAGGACGGCCCAAGGAGGCGCACAGGAGGGGCCCAAGACGACTCCCAGGCGGCCCCCTCACGGTCCCAGACGGCTCCAAGACAGCCCCACGAGGACCCTGATGGGCCCAGGACGGCCTACGGACGCGCCCAAGAGGGGCCCACGACGAACCAAGACGGCCCCATCACGGCAAACGGCGCCCTCAAGACGGGCCTGGACGGCTCCAAGACGGCCCTTTGAGGGAGCCACCGCGGCCTCACACCCTTCGGGCGCACACTTGGGGGGGCTGGGAGCTTGCGACAAGTCTCCCACATTCATTGTCCTGCGCCATTCTGTTCGCCTGGAGGCCTCCTCCAACCCTGTGGGCGAACAAGAGGAAACCCAGCGGGCCGCCAACCCTGGGGCCCGTGGGCCCCGCGCCGCTTGGGCAGCAGACGAACGCCGGGTCTGACAGGCCAGCTACCGCCCCCCTTCGCCCAATATGCTGTGCCATTATGTTCCCCCAGGGGCCTTGGCAAACTCTTCGGGCCAAGCAGACCGGACCCGTGGGACAGCAGCCAATTGATATGACCCTGGGACCTTTCCGCATTCTTCGGACGAGCACCTGGGGGGCCCAGGAGATTCGGACGGGTCTTCCCCTTTCCTTACCCTCTCCCGTTCTGTTCGCCCGAAGGCCTCCACAGGCCCTCTGGGCGAACAGAATGGGACATGGCGAACAAACCCTCCCGTTGGCGGTGATGCGACTGTATCGCACCATCAAAGCGCGCCCGGAGGTGATGGCCGACCCAACAGCGGTTTCTCTAAAGATTATACAGAATTTCAAATTTTCTTGAAGTTCTCTTGGGCCCTCCTTGTAGATCCTTGCGAGCCTCCCCGGCGCTTTCGGTGGCTTTCCCCGATGGCCTCCCGAGCCCTCCCCCGAGCGCTCCTGAGACGCCTCAGATGGGCTTCGACTTCGACGCACATCCCCGAGAGACTTCGAAACTGTCCTCAATAGGAGGGGGGTGAACGAGCAGTGCGCTGGGCCAAGCTGCTGCAGCGCTGCAAGAGCTCGGACACGAAGGCGCGGTCTCGCTGCCGCCGCCCGAGCCGCCGCCGTGTTTGTAGATTTTCGGTACAATCTGCGCCGTTCCTCCGAGAACCATTCCAGAAAGATGTCGTGGACGGAGTCCACGGTTCAGCCCTAGTCAGCTACAACGCTGGGATCAGCGCGTGCGAGAAGGGCGAGCAGTGGCAGCGGGCGCTTGCGCTGCTGAGCGAGATGTGGGAGGCGAAGCTGGATCCCGACGTCATCAGCTACAGCGCTGGGATCAGCGCGTGCGAGAAGGGCGAGCAGTGGCAGCCGGCGCTTGCGCTGCTGAGCGAGATGCGGGAGGCGAAGCTGGATCCCAACGTCATCTTCTCTACAATGCAGGGGCCCGTGCGTGCGGGAAGGGTCCCTGTCTTGATGGAGTGAAAATGCCCCACAACGGCTCGGGGGACGCCCCAGAGGCGCTCACGCGGACCCAGAGGTGCCCAGGACGGCCCCAGACACCCCCAAAACGGCCCAAGAGCGCTCCAAGAGAGCTCCAGACCGCCGAAAACGGCCCCGACAAGGCCCAGGAGGCCTCCACGACGGCCCCAGAGACGCTCAAGAGGCGTCCCAGGATGGCCCCCACACCACATCATTGTTTCTCCAACGAAAAACGTCAAATTTTAGCACACACTGCTTGTCGGGAGTATGGCGCAGAAGATGGGACAAGAGGCCCCCACGACCGCCCCAAGACGGCCCAAGAGGCCCCCGAGAGGCACGAAAACCGGCCCGCGAGAGCGTCCAGAGACCCAAGAGGCGCCCAACACGGCCTCCAGGCGGCCCCAAGAGGCTCCCAGGAGGCGCCCAGGACGGCCCCAGGCACCCCCAAGACGGCCCAAGAGCGCTCCAAGAGAGCCCAAGACCGCCGAAAACACACCCAAGACGGCCCAGGAGGCCTCCACGACGGCCCCAGAGACGCCCAAGAGGCGTCCAAGGATGGCCCCCAGAGGCGAAAATCATTGTTTTCCCAAAGAAAAACGCTCAATTTTAGCATGCACTGCTTGTCGGGAATATGGCGCACAAGACGGGACAAGAGGTCCCCACGACCGCCCCAAGGCGGCCCAAGAGGCCCCCAAGACGCACGAAAACCGGCCCAAGAGGGCGTCAAGAGAGCCCAAGAGGGCCCCAACAACAGCCCCAAGCGCGACACGAGGCGCTCCAAGAGCGCTCCACACAAGCCAAGACTTGCCCTCTTGCGGCGCCAAGACGGGCCCCAGACGCCTCTACGACGGACCTGGTCTACGACGGACCAAGAACCCCAATAGCTTCCCAGGAGCCCCCGGATGTGAAGGCGATCGCTTTCCCAGGGGCCCAGGGGCCGAAATCGTCTCAATTCCTGACGGGAAAACGCACATTGATCACCAGATCTGGATCTTGTTCTAGCTGCGATCTTCATCGCAGCGTCCAAGACACGCTGGGTACAGGGGATGCGCTGTGTCGACCACACCTCGCCAAGACCAGCGGCCCCCAGGAGGGGCCCCAAACAGCCCCAACACGGCCCCCAGACCGGCTCCAGAGAGCCCCAGAACGGCCCAAGACGCCGCCCAAGACAGCATCACGGGGGGGGGGGGGGGGGGGGGGGGGGGGGGGGGGGGGGACAGTATCGCGATAAATGCCCACGGGACGGCTCCGAGAGTCTCCAGGGTGCGCCAAGACGGCCCCAGAGCACCCCTTGGGAGCCCCAAGACAGCCCCAGAGGCCCCCTCCCCCCCCCCCCCCACCCCCAAGGCAGGCCAGGGATACCCCAAGATGCTCAGGAGGGCCTCCAGGAGGAGCCCAATAGGCCGAAATCGTCCCATTCCCTAGTGGAACGCCGCAAGACGCGCTCAGAGCCCACAGGAGGGCCCCCAAACGCCACTACACGGCCCCGGAACGGCTCCAAGGCGCCCGACGGGCCCAAACGCACCCAAGAACAGCACCAAGAGCAGTTCAATATGGCCCATGACGTCCACCGCCCCGTCTCCAAGGACGGTGTACAAGGCCCCCAACCGCCCCGTCCCCAAGCTTTTCCCATCTGCACAGTCACCAAGACCCGGCTGTCAGCCTCAATCGCCCAAGACCTACCCATAGACCCCCCAGGAGATTCAAACGGCCCGAGACGGCCCCGGGACGGCTCCAGAAGCGCCCGAGACAGTCCAAGAAACATCCAAGACAGCCTGCCCAAGATCGGCCCAAGATGGCCCCAAGACGGCCTCAAGATGGTCCGAGAGGCGCCCGAGACGGCCCTACATCGCCCAAAGACGGCCCAAGAGGCACTCAAGACGGCCCAAGAGGGCCCCGAGAGACCCCCAGGAGGACGAAAAGAGGCCCCTAAACGGCCCCCACGAGGCCTTGGATCCTTCTCTCTTGGGGAGCGTCGAACTTCCAGCGTCGTCTGAGGGGCTTCTTGGACCCTCTGGGATCCATCTTTGCGCCTTTGGGCGACGTCTTGGGGCGGTGCGCTCGAAAGGCCGATTCGTGTCCTCGCACTGGGGCCCGACTTCGGGAGTTCGTGGGGCCCTCTGAGGCCGTTTAAGAAGCGTCGTGGCCCGTCCTGGAGACCTTTTGGGCCGTCTCGCCGCCATCTTGCGGGCCCCTTAGGCCGCGCCCACCGGCCCCACTGTCACCACACTACCAGATAAAATCATCATTCGGCCCTGGCGAGGAGCAGATACAATTATCACGGCTACCCTCCCTGCAGAAGCTATGATGAACACATGCTGCGGCGTGAGAAACAGCTTCTGTCCACACCACGTCATGCCTGCATGGGTGTGCTTCCAGTGACACCGCCTCTACCATCGCGTTCCTGCCTTCAGGCCTGCTTGCCTGCATCCCTCGCCCACCTCCCCTTCCAGCGGCCACCTCCTCCATCCACGCCGTCTCCTCCAACCTCCCGTCGCCTGCGAGGCCCCGGAGACGCTCCACTTCCACGTCCACGCCATGGCGGGCAGATTCCGGGGCACAGTTGCTGAGGTCAGCCCTTGTCTTCTCTACAATGCAGGGACCCGTGCGTGCGGGAAGTGTCCCTGTCTTGATGGGCGTAAAATGCCCCACAACGGCTCCAGGGACGCCCCAGAGGCGCTCACGCGGCCCCAGAGGCGCCCAGGACGGCCCCAGACACCCCCAAAACGGCCCAAGAGCGCTCCGGACCGCCGAAACGGCCCCGACAAGGCCCAGGAGGCCTCCACGACGGCCCCAGAGACGCTCAAGAGGCGTCCCAGGATGGCCCCCACAGGTCCAAATCATTATTTTTCAAACGAGAAACGTCCAATGTTAGCACACACTGCTTGCCGGGAGTATGGCGCGGAAGCTGGGACAAGAGGCCCCCACGACCGCCCCAAGACGGCCCAAGAGGCCCCCCAGGGGCACGAAAACCGGCCCGCGAGAACGTCCAGAGACCCAAGATGCGCCCAACACGGCCCCCAGGCGGCCCCAAGAGGCTCCCAGGAGGCGCCCAGGACGGCCCCAGACACCCCCAAGACGGCCCAAGAGCGCTCCAAGAGAGCCCAAGACCGCCGAAAACACACCCAAGACGGCCCAGGAGGCCTCCACGACGGCCCCAGAGACGCCCAAGAGGCGTGCAAGGATGGCCCCCAGAGGCGAAAATCATTGTTTTCCCGAAGAAAAACGCTCACTTCCAGCATGCGCTGCTTCACGGGAATATGGCGCAGAAGCTGGTCCCAGGTCCCCACGACTGCCCCAAGACGGCCCAAGAGGCCCCCAAGACGCACGAAAACCGGCCCGAGAGGGCGTCAAGAGAGCCTAAGAGGCGCCCACAACGGCCCCAGGGTGACACCAAGAGGCGCCCAGGACGGCCCCAGGTATCCCCAAGACGCTCCAAGAGCGCTCCACGACAAGCCAAGACTGCCTCTTGCGGCGCCAAGACGGCCCAAGACGCCTCTACGACGGCCCATTTGAATAAAAGTAAGGCGATGGAGTCGGTAAATAAGACATATGAAAAAAAGAAAAACTTAACAAAAAATAAAGGGGATAATATAGCATAACACATAGACAAAAAGAATCTAATGATCAATAAAGCAATGAGCAATAAGAAATAATATTCACAAGACAAACCAAACAAAACAACAAAAGAAATAAAAAGAACCAATAAAAGCGACAAAAGAGAAGACAAGGAAGAACCAAACCATGAAAGTCCAAGAAACCCAGAGAAATTAAGACGCCGAAGAGGCTTCCCAGGAGGGCCCCAGGAGGGCCTCGAGACGGCCCAAGACGCACCCAAGACAGCCCCAACAGCAGTTAACAATGGCCCAAGACGGCCCCACCGCCCCGTCTCCAAGACGGCTGTAGATGCCCCCACCGCCCCGTCTCCAAGCCTTTCCGTTTGGACAGTCTCCAAGACGGTCTCTGGGCCGTCAGGGACGGCTCCAGAGGCGCCCGAGACGGCTCAAGAAACAACAAGACAACCCCAAGAACGCCCAATATTTGTCCAAGATAGCTCCAAGACTGTCCCAAGATGCCGAGAGGCGCCCAAGACGGCCCCACATCGCCCCAAGACGGCCCAAGACGCACTCAAGATTGCCCAAGAGGGCTTCAAGAGACCCCCAGGAGGACGAAAAGGGCCCCCAAGCGGCCCCCAAGAGGCGTGGGATGCTTCTCTCTTGGGGAGCGTCGAACTTCCAGTATCGTCTTGGGGGCTTCCTGGACCCACTGCGAGCCATCTCTGCGCCATTTGGGGACGTCTTGGGGTGGTGCGCTCGAAAGGTCGATTCGTGTCCTCGCACTGGGGCCCGTCTTAGGGAGTTACGTCTCGCCGCCCTCTTGCGGGCCTCTTAGGCCGCGCCCACTGGCCCCACACTACCACATCAAATTATCATTCGGCCCCGGCGAAGGGCAGATAACTTCTCACGGCTGCCCTCCCCGCAGAAGCTATGATGAACACAGACTGCGGCGTCAGAAACAGCTGTCATGCCTACATGGGTGCGCTTCCATTGACACCGCCTCCACCACCGCGTTCCTGCCTTCAGGCCTGCTTGCCTGCATCCCTCGCCCATCTCCCCCTCCAGCGGCCACCTCCTCCATCCACACCGTCCCCTCCAACCTCCCCTTACCCGCGAGGCCCCAGAGACGCTCCACTTCCACGTCCAAGCCATGGCGGGCAAATTCCGCGGCCGGAAGGCCGCGGGTCAGCCCTAGTCTCTACTACATTGCAGGGCCCAGTGCGTGCCAGAAGGGCGCAGGCTCCAATGTCTCAAAACCGCCCCGGGCTGGCCCCGGGCCGCCCCGGGCCGCCCAGGCAGGCTCCAGGACATGTCGGGAGGGCCCCCAGAAGCCCCCAAGACGGCCCCGGAGAGCCCCGGCACGCTTA